TAGATGGGTTAAAGAGGCTGAGCTCATTGCTGTGGAAACTCACCGGAGGGCTCTCCTAGATTGGGGTGTGTTATGAGGAGGAATGCACTTTAGTAGCCAGCCCCACAGTGACCTCAGGGAAATGAGGACACCTTGTGGAACTCAGTGTAGAGAACAGCTTGGGAGGCTGGGTCACAGGGTGGCGGTGTGCTGGGTCTAAGGGCCACAGGGTGGGTAGCTGGTTTATTAGGCTCATATGTATTGACTAAGCTTCTAATGCAATCAGAGCGGTATGCCTGGTCCCAGAGTGAGGGGAAACTATGGCTGTGGTTTACTGGCAAGGTTCTGGCGTCTTTCTCCTTCAATAGCTACGTGGCATCTGCCTGATTCTGCCTTCTTTCTCTTCTATCTCTACTTGGATTTCCCACCTTGCTATATTCTGCCCTGCTATAGGCTAAAGCAGCTTCTTTATTAACCAATGGTAATAAAACATATTCACAGCATATAGAGGGGGAATCCCACATCAGCGGCCCCCAAATCACCACCGTTTGTGCTATCCCCTCTCTAACCTGGTCTCTGGCTATCATCCGCTCCCTGTCCTGCCATCCACTCCCTCTTCTCTGCCCTCCAGTCACTTCCTGTTACAGCCAGGCTCTGTCTGCCCCTTCCAGGCTCCACTGAATGTTCCTCCCACTGGGAGTCCTCTTCCACTTCCTTATTCGTGTCTCATTCCCGTCAATACCCTCAATTATGTCTTTAAATGTCCCCTTTGTACAGCTGACTCAGACAGTTGAATCTACAACCCCTTGTGCCCGTAGTGATTGTTCACCTTGCTTCATCTGGGCTTGCTCATGGCATATGCCACACTTGTAATAATCTATAATTAAGCAATCAGGAGATAGGAGCACCTAATAGAGCAGGGATAATTGATACAATGAATACTGAACAATACAGTGTAAGGAGAGCTAAGACATCGAGGGTTGCGGAAAATCAGTGTGGAAGGTGTCATATATGGGGAACCCAAGTAACTTGACAATTCTGGTTTTGTTTGTAGACTTACTAGATCCTTACACAGAGACAGTTACACTATCCCCATATAGGGTCTTTCTCTTCCTGTAAATATATATATATATTTCTCCTACTAACCCTGAATCTATATTTGGAACTGAAGAGACAAAACTAAAGCCATTTTAAACCTAGGGCTCATCTTTGTGAGAGTGTAACTTAGCAGGTACCCCACCCCAGGCACCTCACCCCACGTACTTGTGAATTCAGAGAAAAGCCACAACCAGCCTAAAAACTACCTGGCTTCCCAGAGACTAGAGGACAGCCCATCAGAAGCTAGACAAACAAGTTATTATTTTTTTTTTACAGTTACTGGGTGGTTTTGTGGAAAGTTACAAAAATCCCCTCTTGACTTAGTGCCAACTACCCTCCTACCCAAGGCACATAACTCCCTGTCTGCAATTTTCCCCTTTAAAGACCCCATGCACTGTGAGCTCAGGGCCTGTCTTCCTCACCCGCTGTGTTGGTGCGTGGGAGAAGGCCCCTGCTTGCAAGCCTGTACAATAAATTGCATCGGAAGTTGGCTCCGTGGTGGTCTTGCTGGTGCGCGGGGAGGGGTGTGTGTGTGTCTTGAGACTCAGGCTCAACAGAACCTTCTGCACTGCATTACACAAACACATGGAGAGTGGACATCCTCACTGGTCCTTGACGCTGTATAAATGGCCGTATTGCACAGCAGGAGTGGCCCAGGTTGCAGATCTTTTGTAGACATTCTTCTTCAAAGTAAGAGTGAGACTCTTCTTCAGACAGTTCTTTCTCAGAATCTTGTCAAATGACCTTCCAGCACTGACTGACTGACACAGCACAGCATTTTCTACTTCAATAGTTTAAATGGTTGATTTCTTTTAAAAGACAGAATCTAATGTAGCTCAGGCTAGCCTAAAATTTAGTATGAAATTGAGACTGGCTTTGAGCTCCTAATCTTCCTGCCTCTGCCTCCCAAGTGTTGGGACTGTGCACTACCACACCAGGCCGCTTTTATCCAACTAGGAACTGCCCTAATTAGCTGCAGTAATTCATGACACATCTGGGCTTCACCAGAGTTGTTACTGGAAACAGAGAAAAGACGGACACAGGCATTGAAAGTGAAACTGAGGTCTATGATGGTTGTGAGAGGCATTGCCTTCAAAAACCTGCAAGAGGACCAAGATGGTTGGTCATTGGCACTTAACCACAGCCCATCTCCCGACCGACCACTTATGCTTCAGCCTGAGTGTATTCTATAGGCGAACATTCAGAGTTACGAATACACACCTCTCAATAATGAATGAGGGACTGGAGAGTTATCTCATTGGTTAAAAGCAGATGCTACTCTTGTAGATTACCTGGGCTCCATTTACAGTACTCACAACTGTCTGTAATTCCAGTTCCAAGGGGAATCTGATGCCTTTTGCTGAACTCCTCCTCTACCTGTGTAGGGCACATATACATGTGGGAAAAAAGACTTATACGCATAAAATAAATGAATCTAAAATGGCTAAAATAATCCCGTTTATGGAAACAATCTTTAGTATACACGATGTAGGTAATCTTTTAGGTCAGACTGCTCCCCAGGAGTCTCAGATGCATCTTGTTCTAGCTAATTTGATGACAACTCAGTACAAGCTGGAGTCATCTGGGAAGAGCAAACGTCAACCAGGAAAATGCCCCCACATTATTGGCCTGTAGAAAAGCCTGTGTATTTTCTTAATTGGTAGTTGATGTGGGAGTGTACAGCTCAATGCGGGCAAGGACCACTGGACTGGTGGTTCTTGGTGCTATAAGAAAACAGGCTGAGCAAGCCATAAGGAACAAGCCAATAAGCATCAGTTTCTACCTCCAGGTTACTGACTTGAGTTCCTGCCCTGGCTTCTCTGGGTGATGGATTATGAACTGAAACAAGTTGCTTCTGGACATCAACAGAGACCTAAGACACATCTCAGTCCCAGCCCAGTTCCCCTTGTGCCTGGTGCTGTTGGCACCAACAGAAATTCTATCAACTATCTATTCTGAGTAAAGCCCAGCCACTGTCCTTTGCAGTGAGGTACCTAGGAATTATCCAGACAGAGAAGGGGTGGCCAAGTTGAGGTTAAAATTCAAGGTAGTGAGGGACACAACCCAAAACAATGAAAACTGGAGCCGTGGAATTGGGAATCCCTGGAGGAACTGCCACCAGAAAGAAAGGGGAGGCCTGAAGAGAAATGCCTTAGGCCGTGGGAACATACAGGCCAGGACTTCCTTCGTCTCTGGCTTACCATCTCCATAAGGTCTACTCAAACCTGAGCACAAAAGCCTGTTGACTCCTGAGAGCATCTACCACATCCTGAGAGACCTCCACATCCTGTCCTACCTCTTATCCTCCCAGGGTTACCTGCAGTCCTCTGCACCCCCCCCCCCCCCCCGGTGTCTTTTATCACTTTAGCTTACAGGTGTCCATGAACATAGCTTGAGCACTTGGTAGAACTCAGTCCACTGGGTCACAGGGAAGGACAGGTAGATAAATGATGGGAAGTGGCTGTAACGTGCATCAGCTGCCCTTCTTATTGCACGAGACTTGTGGGGGCAGGCCTCACCTGTCTGTCATTTGCATGTGGCTCTCGTGGTTTGGCTAAGGGAAGAATCACACACACACTTGCTGTAAGTGTTGACATCAGTAGGTCCTCACAGCGATGTGGAAGGTGTCCATGGTGTGGTCAGCAGGACAAAGTACACAAAGTCCTTGGCACCCTGGGTGTAGAGACTCCAGGCTGCTCACTAATCTCTGGTGTTAAGGAGCGCTGGCCCCACCCTCTCACATCCAGGATGTCAGGCTTCCTGTGCAGTAGCAGCTAGCAGGATTGGATCATGGCAGCTTCTCAGCGCAGTCCAGGGCCTGCCATAGGGTGCTCATTAATATTGTTTAGATGTCCTTGAAGCTGTCCAAACTTGGTCTACAGAGGCACAAAGGTGCCTTCGTGGGACTAGAACCTCTCTCTAGAGCTCAGGTCAGATGGGGCTCAGGACATCAGGATGGGGAGGGGCAAAACAGAGTTCCTAACGGAGAGTGAGCTAGGCTGAGACCGGAGGATGAGGTGGCCAAGGCTCCAAGGTCTTGTTGGAGATGAAACCCTGAACAACAGTGGGGACACTTCTCTGTAGTGGGCACAAATTGGTGACTGCTTTATAGCTAGAGCCTTCCCGGCTTTTGGAATAAAGGGTGAACCCCAGGGGTCAAGGCTCTACTTGGAGCTTGGAATATAATTGGGTAGATAGATGGGTGATGATGGTTCCAGAAGGGAAATGATAAGGGTGAGCCTCTGTGAGGTAAGAAGTGCAGTAAGAGAGAAGAGCTGCCTGGTGCACAGCATGAAGCTCGTCAGGTAACTGAGGTCTCTAATGTTCCTATGTGGTCCCTCCCTCTCAGAGCAGTCCAGGCACAGGAGCTCCTGAGCTGTCAGCTAAATCCTGACACATCAAATGTATCCCTACTCACATCTGGGGCAGGGTCACCGAGTAGCATAGGGCCATGTTGGTGGGCTCTTAGTGCACAGTTTGTGCCCAGGGTTGTGTGTGGTTAAGAAGCTCAGTCCTTTTCTCGGCTTCTGTGGGAGAGAAACCAGCTTCTAGATAAGATGGCTAAGGGAGCCAGGGGTGGCTGGGGAGCGAGCGCGGGAGTGGAGAAGGAGTAGGAGGCAGCCAGGTCCCTCCCTTCCTGGCTGCCTGTTCTCTACTCCTGTCCAAGAATCATTTAGACACCATTGTGGGTTCTGTGTATGCACCTTTGGACATGCAGACATTGCAGGCCATTGTGTCTTTCATCTGCAGTAGGTAAAGAATGATCATCTATCGCTGCACAATAACCTCCATGCCCATGACGGACACGGATTTGTCGAGGTGGGGTGTGGTCAGTGCCGTTTGTGACCATAAAGGGCATTCTCCAAGGAGCCAGCACAGCCTCATTTTGTCATCCGTGTGACCTGCCTTGTCTATAGGACAGAGCCTGCAGATGAAGAGCCTGCTTTTGACTGTTACACTGTTCATCCTGGTGACTGGCCTACGTGCCCAGGATGACCTGCCTTTCCTCTCAGAAGACAAGAACGTGAGGCAGGGAGCAATGGTGGAAGGGGGTAGGGGGAATGCTTGACTGTTGTCCAGTGCCTGAGGATTGGAGCCGGCACTCGTGAGCTTTTTAGTTCTCTGAGCCTGGTCTCTAGCCCTGCACCTCAGCCTGGAGTCTTGTCTGCTCTCTACTGCTCTGCCGTCTCTATTGCTGTTCTGCCAGCAGGCACGGGCCCTCCTGGACCACAGAGATGGACCCACAGAAGGGTCCTAGTTGCAGTGACTCCAAGAACCAGAATGTTTCTCAGGGGTGGACCTTCATGCCCTGTCCTAGAACCGATGACTTTGGGGGCTTTGAGAACAGATACATTCTGCCTAACTAGAACATGGGTTTTTGGTGAAACTTTAAGGAACACAGAACTGGGGAGTGGGGGCCAGACCATGTCAGGGGCTTCAGCCTGGGCTCTGAAATGTTTTTCAGACTCCTTCCCACGTGCTGGAGCCTGAGGAAGAACTTGGCTTGGACTGGGGTGTATTGGGTGTTCACGGTATACAGGGCTCTGTTCGTTACAGGTCTCAGGGATCTGGTACAGGAAAGTCATAGTGAGTGACTGGAACATCACAGAGCCGAAGAGCCATGTGGAAGAATTCCCTTTTGTGGTGAGAGCCCTGGAAAAAGGAAGCATGGAGGTTACGATATTTTTCATGTGAGTGTCACCACCGTGAGTCTTCCCAGCTTTCCCTTCCCCTCTCCTCTATGCTTTGAGTGTTGATGACAAGTAGGTTCATGCTTTAAGGGGACACTATCACCTCAATCACTTGAAAAATCCTGACTGCACTTGAAATGGGGTAGACAGGTCACTGACTCACCGTGCAAGCTGAGCAGAACGCAGGTGTGGGCCCTGCAAGACACTGCTGCTGTGCTTCCTGTTTTCCAGGTTTGAGGAGAATTGCCAACAGATTGAATTCGTGCTGGAGAAGACAAAGAAGCCTGGCCAATACAGTGCCTGTGAGCCCGCCTGAATTTCTTCTCCCATTGCCTTGATAAAACTCTCTGTCCCAAAAGATTAGGGAAAGGGCGTTTATTTCAGTCCATCCTGGTGGAGAATTCATGGCAGCTGGTGCTTGGAAGAGCTGGTTATACCCCATCTACTGCTGGAAGAAGGGAATGGGGGATGCATGTGTGCAAGCGCTACCATCCTAGGCCAGTGGTTTTCAACCTGTGCGTGGTGACCCCTTTGGGAGTCAATATCAGATATCCTGTTTATCAGATATTCACATTATGATTCCCAACAGTAACAAAATTACAGCAGTGAAGTAGCAATGAAATAATTTTATGGTTGGGGTCACCACACAATGAGGAACTGTCTTAAAGGGCTGCAACACTAGGAAAGCTGAGAACCACTGCTCTACCCAGCTCCTTAGCACAGTCAGAACAACGTGTCTGGAACACTGCCGACCTGTTTTCTCTGTTTATCTACAGTTTGGGGCGCGAATCTCATGTACATCTATGAACTGCCAGTGATGGACCACTACATCTTCTACAGTGAATGCCGTTTTCTTGAGCAGAAAGTCTATACGGGAGAGCTCATAGGTAGGACCCTGGCTACCCCATGTCCTGTGTTATCTCCATCATCAGAAGCCAGAGGATGTGCAGTAGCTACAACTTGGCACTAGGGACTAGAATGCTTAGTACGGAAGACTTGATGTGTATCTAGGTTCTGGACACCAGGTGCTGCCTGTGCAGTGGGCAAGATCTGAGTGAGAAGGGTCAGGTTGACGGGGATGTTCGGACAAAAGGACAGATATAGCCTTCAGGGCCATAACAACTCAGGATGGAAGTTCCAAGCAGTGAACTATAGGCTGACTTTTCCTGTCCTGACTGCTTGTTCCCAAATAACCAGCAATCACTTCACAAATAACTGACTCAGAGACCTTTGGTTGGCAATGTCCCTCTGGACTTGAGAGACAGACTGGTATCCCTGTGACCAGGGTGCTTCCAGGTCAGGGTGCAATTCTGTGCAGCCATTCAGAATATATCCCATCCTTTTGTACCTCCCTGCAGGCTATGTCCTTCTTCTCCATCCATACCCCATTTCCCTGTCTTCTCTAAGTGCTCCCTCCTCTCCTGCCTGCACCTGGCCCAGGGTAACGCCCCTAGTGCTGGGCAGTGATCCTGCCCTTGTACCACTGACTCCCTGCAGCACTGTGCAGTCACAACCCTGTGCTCATCTGGTCTCTGCCCCCAGGGAAGGATCCCACAGAAAACCACGAGGCCCTAGAAGAGTTCAAGAAGTTCGCACAACAGAAAGGCTTCCCACCAGAAAACATCATAGTTCCTGAGCAGAGAGGTGAGCAAATGACTTTAGAGATCACAGACTAGACCACAAGAGACCATACTTTCCTGTAGTTCCATAGAACTGTCCACACCCCTCCTGTTCTCCTGTGTCAGCCATTATTCAGAAACCCTTGTGTTTCTCCATGTCCCTAGTATATCTTTCTGTCTCCATTTGCCCTACTCTTCCCTCACCATATTCCAGGTCTTGGTCATGATGACATCTAAGCTCCGTGTGTGATGGGGTCTAGGTCTTTTTCAGCATACATCTTCAACCCTGGATTTTTCTTTGTTTCTACAGAAATGTGTGTCCCTAAAAACCACAATGGTAAGTGACACCTGGAAGAAACTTAGGACAGCTCAGACTCCATAGTACTTGAGTTTTGTGGTTCATCTTTTGGATCCTTAAACTGAGATACGAGAGACCCTTTGTATCCAGGTATGAGCGGCCCTTTCAAGGATGTGACCACAAGCAAAACCCCAGGACACTTGAGAACCCATTTATTTTTTCATAGACTCCTTCCCATGCCATGGGCTCCATGTGGTCCCACCTCCCACCCAACATACCCTCTATTTAGTGACCTACTTAGATGCTTAGTGACCTGCCTGGTAAACATGGCAGCCTGTGCTTGAGGATCATGAGTGTCTGGCAACATCTCCACAGTGTCTGTGGGAAGGGAGTTCTCTGATTGGCATCTGTTTCCTATGAGCTCCACTGGAGAAGGAGGGGGCCTCATCTCTGTCCTCTTCCTGTCACAGCTGTCCCTTGGAACTGCAAATCTTGAGTCAACTCTGCACCAGTTAATAGCACTGCCTCTTCTGGAATACTCGTCTCCCTGGACCACCCAACCCTGAGACACACCCCGCAAGACCATCTCACTACCCATCGGATCACACTTCTGCTAGGACCCTTTGTCCCACCCTAAACCCAAGTAAAGCTTAAGCAGCAATTTTGGACTCAGTGTGTGCTTTGGAGTCTCCTGTAAACTCCCAGAAGCTCTATGACATAGTTGAGGAGCTCTGGGACCTAGTAGGTACCAGACCCCAAAGTCTGACTACCTCAGTCCTGTAGGATATAGGACATCCTAGAAGTTCATATGATGGGACAACCCCTGCCCTCCCCCCTATGGCTTCAGAAGGTGTTTGACTTTGTGGAGAATTTGGGAAGCTACTGGGTTGGGCACAGCTGGGGAGATGGTGTTACAGATGCAAATGTGTGCAGGTTTCCACAGGGATCTTACTCCAGTGGGGACTTTGGGGAATCTATGAGAGGCCATGTGGTGGGCTCTTAGCACACAGCTTGTGCCCGGGGCACTGACAGAGTTGTGTGTGGTAAAGAAGCTCAGTCTTTTTCTTGGCTTCTGTGGGAGAGAACCTAGCTTCCAGATAAGATGGCTAAGGGAGTCAGGAGTGGCTGGGGAGCAAGTGCTCCTATTCATGCTCTTAGCCCGGTGCTCTTAATGGTTTTTCTGCTGTATGGGAACCCTGGAATCGACCTGTCCCAGGAATGATATCTCCCACTCAAGGTCCCTGTCCTAGAATGACTAGATATGCCTGCTTATGACAGAGAGGGGCTAGCCATGACCAGGAATCTTCCTGATCTTCCAAAGTATCATGTTCTTCCAGGTGGTACTGGGACCCTCCCGGAGTCCCCTCTGCGTATCCTTCCATCTCATCTCCTGCCATGAACCCCTTTGCTTGTTCCCCCTCAAGGGTGGCATCCCCCTCTAGCTTCTAGGCAAGTGGTTCATAACTCACTGGGCAGGAAACCTGCAAAGCCATTATCGATAACTATTAAAGCCTGGTTTCTGGAAACCTAAACCTTACTAGAGTCCTGTAGAGCAGGAAGCTTTGTGTTGAAGAATACGTGTGTGCATTGCCTCTGCTGCCAGAGTGAAATCCAGCAGGACTGACAGCTGCCTGGGTAGCACAGAGTCTCACAGGAAAGCTGCCTGTTCTAAAGACTCTAGAAATAGTGTAAAGTCTGCCAAAATGTAGAATGGCTCAATGTTCCCCTTGGCCTTTGTCCCCCCCCCCCCCCCCCCCGCCACCCGCCCCCCGCCCCGAGGGTGTGTGCTGTGCATTGCTGTGTGGCGGTCTCTGTCACACTGTGCTGTGCGCCTTGAGTCACCTCAGTGGACACTGCTGGATGGAGGACCCTGGGACGCTAAGTGAGACCCTCATGAGGTCCTTTGGGTTTCTGCCTGGTTACTAGGTTTCTTCATCTCGTGGTAAGACATAAACTTTCTTTCTTTGTCTGAGAAACCTTTTTTTTTTTAAATCAAAGATTGTTGGCTCATTAAAGGCCCATATTGTATCAATCACTCCCTTCCCCTTTTCACTGATCAGCCAGTTTTGTCAGATTATGAAGACATCCACCACCAATGGGAAGAGACAGTCACCACTTACACTCAGGATGAAAGACAGAGTTTGTTTTAGTTACTTTTCTAACACCATGACCGAGGAAACTTACAGAAGAAAGCATCTAGAGGGCGCTTACAGTTTCAGAAGGTCCATGACCACCGTGGTGTGGAGCAGAGCAGCAGGCAGGCAGGCAGGCCTGGTGCTGGGGAGTAGTGTGAACTCACATCCTGGTCCAAAGTAGGTGGCAGAGAAAGAGAACGACTCAGAATGTCATAGATTTTGAAACCTCATAGCCCACGCCCAGTGACACACTTCCTAATCCTACTCAAACAGTTCTTCAATCTGGAAATAAAGTATCTAAACATATGAAACTACGGGTGCCATTCTTTTTTAACAAAGTTTTTTAATTGATTCTTTGGGAATTAAATATTGCACACCCAATCCTACTCATTTCCCAGTCCCTCTATATTTGCACTTTACCCTTGTAGCATTCCCGTACAAAAAGAAAATTAAAAAAGAAATAATAAAAACCAAAACAAAAAAGAAACAATAAAAGAAAAAATAAAATATCAAATAAAAACAAATAAAAATAGAAAACAAAACGAAAAACAACAAAAAAGCAAAACAAAAACAAACAAAACCCACTTCCCTCCTCTGTCTTTCCAGCGTCTCCATCTCCTCTTCATGCACCATAGTGTCATTGGGAACTGAGGTGTGTCACCAAGTAGACCCTTTGGTCCAAATAGCTTTACTTGCAAATATTCACTGTGTAATGAGTTGTTGGTCAGGTTCAAGGCCTCTGGTGAATCATCAATAATGGACCCTTACAGAAATTCCTCTCAGATATCCTGTATTGTCCTGAGTCATGGAGATCCTGTAGCTATGTTTCTGCAGGACTTGTCCCTTAATGTGCCCCAGCAGGTTATAGACGAGTTAGATGCTGGTGTGAGCTAACTCAAACCTTGGTTGTGTGCCTTGATGGTAGCTGAGTTGGTCAGTCTGGGCCCCTGGGACCACCCCCTCAGGCAAGGGGTGGAGCCAGCTTTCCATTGCCCTTTGTGAGGGGTAGCACCAGCTTTTCCAAGTGTGGTGTTGGGGGAAGCTCTCCTATGAGGGGAGGGGTTAGCTCTCTTGTTTTGGTGGCCATTGTGGCCAGCTCTCCCAGGGCTAATGAGGGTGGGTCCAGCTTAGCATGACCCTAGGACCACAACACACATGGTTTACATGGGTCTCTGTGTTAACACATGCAACAGACATCAACACAGACCTCAGCTGCAACAGGACCATGGACCCAGACATGGCCCTCAGCAGAAGCTTGGGCCTAATTGTCTCCATGGCCCCAGGGAATAGCACAGGTCAGTCAGATCTTTATGGGCCCTGGTAGCAGTGTGGTTCTTGGACTCCAACATGGCCTCAGGTAACAGTCAAGACCCTTGGCATCACATGCCCTTGATGGTAACAGGAACCCGTGGAGGCCCAAAAATGTGAGCCTATTTCCACCTTGACCAAAGGGAAGAGAGTTGGAACTCACTCCTATTTCTTCAAGGTTATTGTCTGTTTCTACCTCAAACAAAGGTCCCACCTAGATTTAGATCAGAGAGTTCTCTGAGGTTACTGTCAACAGGTGTGGCTAATAGCCAGACCTTGTATTTCAGCAATAGAGAAGTAGATATGTTTCTACCTCAAACAAAAGTGTAACTATCCAACTAAGGATTCCACCTAGGGAGTGGTTTGCCTACAGAATGTTTTGGTCTGGGGTGTGAGTGTGATTTGTTTTGTTCTAGCAACAAAGTGTTTTCCTAAGAATGTAGCCTGCAACCTTCAATTGGTATGTTGACTTCTTTGTATCATGTTAATGCAGTTTTTTTAAAAAAATTCTTACTCCTACCTTTTGGGGTCAGGGGTATTTTAAGCAATTGGAAATTAAACATGGGCAATTTCAGTATTGACTGGAGCTCCATTCCGATCTATCCTGTTTCTGTTTTATTATTTTCACTCATGTCTTCATCTTCTTTTCTATTTTTCTGATCCCCATATGGTGTAGGAGGGTCTTCTACCTATCTGTTGCTTTCATTGGTTAATTAATAAAGAAAACTGCTTGGCCTGATAGGTCAGAACATAGGTAGGTGGGGAAGACAGAACAGCATTCTGGGAGAAAGAAAGCAGAATCAGGCAGACACCATGAATCTCTGGCCCAAGATGGATGTAGGTTAGAATCTTCCCGGTAAGCCACCACTTCATGGTGCTACACAGATTATTAAGAGTAGGTTAATTAAGATGTGAGAGTTAGCTAAGAAGAGGCATTTCCTGGATGGCTAAGGTGTTTCTCAGGCATTTGAGATTCTTCTGTTGAGGATTCTATCTTTAGATCTGCACCCCATTTTTAAATTGGATCATTTGGTTTGTTGATATCTAATTTCTTGAGTTCTTTATATACTTTGGAAATCAGCCCTCTGATGGTTGTCAGGTTGGTGAAGATCTTGTCTCATTCTGTGGGCTGCTGTCTGTCCTATTGACAGTGTTCTTTGACTTACAGAAGCTTTTTAGTTTCAGGAGGTCCCATTTATTGTCAATCTTCATGTCTGTGCTATGGGCATGCTGTTCAGAAAGTTGCCTCCTGCACCAGTGCTTTCAAGGCTACTTCCCACTTTCCTTTCTATCAAGTTCAGTGTATCTGGCTTTATGTTGAGGTCTTTGATCCACTTGAACTTGAATTTTCTAAGTCAATCTTGCAATCTTCTACATGCTGACATCCAGTTAGACCAGCATCATTTGTAGAAGATGCTTTCCCCTCCCCCCCATTGTATAATTTTGCCTTTTTTTCTTGTCAAAAATCAGGTGTCCATAGGTGTGTGGGTTTACATCTGGGTCTTTCATTAGATTCCATTGATCAGCTTCTCTGTTTTTATTCCAATACCAAGCTATTTTTATTACTATTGCTCTGTAGTAGAGCTTAAAATCAGGAGTGGTGATGTCTCCAGAAATTATTTTATTTTACAGGATTGTTTTAGCTATCTTAAATTTTTTTGTTTTCCTTATGAAGTTGAGTATTATTCTTTCAAAGTATGTAAATATTTATGTTGGGACTTTAATGGGGATTTCATTGAATCTGTAGACTGCTTTTGGTAAGATGGCCATTTTTACTGTGCTAATCCCACTGATTAAGGAGCATGGGAGATCTTTCTATCTTCTAATATCTACTCCATTTCTTCAAAGACTTGATGTTATCATACAGGTCTTTCATTTACTTGGTTAGAGTTAGACTAAGATATTTTATATTATTTGAGGCTATTGTAAATGGCATTGATTATATGATTTCTTTCTCAGCCTGTTTATCATTTGTATATAAGAGGACTACTGACATTTTTGAGTTATTCTTGTATGTAGCCACTTCACTAAAGGTATTTATCAGCTGTAAGAGTCACCTGGTAGAGTTTT